CTGGGTTTTCTCGTGTCTGCTCTTCACGATCTCTACTCAACCGTTATTTTTTATTGAAGCTAACATTCTAGACGCTATATAAGTCAAAATTATTCCTCTGAATCTGTCAAAAGAGAAACTTCGTATTTTGTTATCGTAACTCAAAGCGATTTCGTCCCTGCGTCTCGCCAACATATATTACAGAGTGCTTGTGAGTTTACACAATTCGATAGGAGTAACTAAAAAATCGTTGTGCTTTATACAATAGAACGTGGTAAGTTCAGACCAGACAGTGAAATTTCCATTGTTTAAGTCTTATCACAGTGCTGTCAAAAGTTGGCCACCCTTAAGAGATACTTTCAAACAAATGTAATATCTAAACAGAGTTTTAATTTTAGGAATAACGGTTTAGGAAGTTTAGATACGCGCCTTGCCCAGGTAAATTCATAAGAAAGCAATTGACCTCAGTAAGTAACGGTTCTATTATTAATCATATATACAAATACAAATTATTGTCTAAACAATATTACACCTTTACTCCTTCCGTAATAACACAAAGTGTTTGGAATTCTGTAATGGGCTCCAAATTTCGATCCAAATTGCACCCTTCCAGTCCAGATGAACGTATCAAGCGCCAAAGAATCAAATTCGATATGATTGTCGCCATTATTAGGTATCAACTTAAACAACATAATACATTTCAGGAAGAAACATAGAAACCCAAAAATAGTACAAAATTTAGAAACTGTAACAAAATACTATAATTACCATCCAAAAATGGGATTAAACAGACCACCAAAATGTAGTACAGAGAGAGTCAATACGAACATGTAGCAAATGTATACATAGAGGGATTTTCCCAAACAAAGCCTTCCAAAAAGGATTCTACAACAGGAGCGACAATTTCTTCGTGGTAGACATCTTACATTCTTCGCATCCGCAATGGTTTCTGTTTTACCAATTCATAATATTTATATCCCAGACTATTAAATCAATGAAACTTATACTACGTTCTAAAAATGAAACATGTTTCAAGTAAACTCCACATAGAAAACATATCTGTTTATTGAATCTCGTAGTTAATGAGCTTAGCTGAGAAAACATACATCGCAGTTTTTTATTGCGCAATCATGGTACACGTGCATAGTTGTCAGAATTCCCACTACCTGCAGCACTGCTGTCAACTGTTGCTTTCGATAATAGCAGGAGACCTGACAACCACTTGGATGCACAGTGCTTCGTTCTAACAGGCGAAATCTACACAGACTATGAGAACGAAACATTGAACAGTATGGGGTGGGTTGTAGAAGGTGCAGATGCTCCGAAGCAACATTGACTTACCTCATCAACAGGAAAATATCGAAGATGACAACATCGATGACTACAGTTATCTGTCATATGACTCTACAGAAAGAGACACCCGGAAAGTGAAAATAGTCGAAAATCTTGGAGACTGTGGAAAAAGAAGTCTGCAGTGTATTCGAGATAATACTCGGTTCTAAGAAAGTAAAATATATAAAGAAATCGGAGCCTTGAAAGGGATAATTTTTGCAAAGTTCGACAAAATTAGCTTCAGATGCTGCATATGCGCAAAGGATAAATTGATACACAACAAATTTGAAAATAATTGCCTGTTTAAAATATATGTACATTCAAGTTGTTCAGCTGCAGACCAAACCATAATAAAGGTGTTCATGCCACACCCAGTTCATCCCGTTCCACCTCAGTCCAAAAGTCGAAAACGAACACCCCTAATCCTTGCTGGCACTGCGGCTCATGGTACTATGTACGAAACTACCCATTTAAGCAACATCGATGCAGGAAGTTTAGGGTCATCGTTCATTAAGGTGGTGTTTGCCTAAAGACAAAGCCGAACCGATTCAGGAGTGTCAAGAAGTCTGTTCCTAGATCCGATACCAATTCGTTGACCCCAATATCTTCCTGTCAAAGCTTATCGCTAGGTAGGAGGAAAATTATTACTCTTAATGTTAACTGGCATTTGTTTAGATTGCAAATAGATATCGCATCTGATGTCACCATCCTCTCACGCAAAAATTGTGCAGCCCTAGCCTGCAGCAGACAACACAGAAGCCTCGTACAGCATATGGTAATTACCTTCGTCTATTAGGACTATTGAAATGTAAAGTTACCTTCCAAGACTCGTCATTTACTGGAGTATGTTATATAACGCTAGCTGATCTAAATTTACTTGGTTTAGATTGGTTCGACCAGCTAAAATTTGCTGATGTCCCGTTAAATACCATATGCCACCAGGCATCACGACCACATGACCCCGAAGCATATATGAGGAAGCTAATGACGCAGTTTTCAACCATCCTCAAACCTGGATTAGGTAGGTGTACTGCCATGAAAGCAATATCTTCCAGCAACCAATGGATACCATCCTATCAGACATCTCAGAGGTCGCAGCTTATCTCGATGACATTTTGCGTGTTGCAACATTAGAACAGCTATGGGAACGAACGACATTGGTACTACAGCGCACCAATGACAACGGGTTCCGGTTACGCCCAGAGAAATGCCAGATTTATTGCAGTCGGTAAAGTATTTGTGATTCATCTTTGATGCCGATGGCCGCAGACCGCATCCTGAGAACATGAGCTATCAAACTGATGCCAAGTCACACTAATGTCTCGGAATTACGATCTTTTCTCGGATTATTCAGTGATTCAGTCAGTCAGTTGCAACGTAGAACTACGTACGTATGTACATAAGTTCATGTTGCCATTCCACATTAGCACAGAGACGCAAATGTCAAATCAAATCCCATAGTGATAAAGATAGTAGATGTATCAATGGTAATGAAGAAGACTAGGGTTTGAAGATATTATTCAAGAAGTATAATTCAGTGGTTTAAAAAGACAAATGTAGAGGTGCTGACGAATCCAGAAGATTAGGATTTGAGAGAGCACAACGAATGGATGCACTTGCGCCATTGCAAACGATTGTGAACCATGTCGTTCAAGATCTCTAACCATCGGTGACTTTCGTCTCGCGGACTCCAACTAGGTAGGCTACATCCACCAACATGTCTCAGTCTACTTGTCAGTGACTTCATGGATTTCTGCCATGTTTTGTTCTGGCCACCCCTAGCTTTTTTCCAAGCTACTCCTACACCATAAAACATAGCTCATCGAGGCAGTCGGTGGTTAGACATACGTAACACATGTCCCAACCAACTCAACTGATGAAGTTTCAATACTCCATCTATTGACCTGCCATCCTTACCTAGTACTCGTTTCCTAACGACAGCATTGCTTACTCAGTTGTCCCACGGTATACGAGCAATGCTTCTTAAACACCTATAATCGAATACTAGTAACCTACGAACATCTTCTACTCTGACTGTCTATGTTTCAAAGCCATAAAGTAAGATGGAGAGAACTAATGCGCAGTACACCCGTCCTTTGGTTAGCGAACGGATATCTCGCATACGCCATAAGTGACGCAGGTTGGTAAAATCCAATCGAGCTTTCTGCATCCGCGCTGAGATCTGGTCAGTCACCAGGCTAACAGCGCTGATGAGACTCCCCAGATAAGTGAAGCGGTCTACATGTTCGACTACTTCACTCCCTATCACTAGTTCAGGTGCCGATGCAACCCAGTCGAATCGTCTATTGCAGAAGAACAGCACTTGTAAATGGACTAGAGTGTGACGCGTCGTTTTGTAAACTCAAGGCCATAATTAGCTCGGAATTGTTATTAACACACTACGATCCATCTATACCAACTATCTTGGCAGCAGATGCTTCAGCATATGGCCTAAGTGCAGTTATTTCACATCAGTTTCTAGACGCCACTGAAAAAGCCGTTATGCATCTATCCCGTACACTAGCCCCATCAGAAAAGAAGTACAGCCAGATAAGAAAAGAGGCTCTTGCCCTTGTGTTTGCTGTTCACCGTTTCCACAAGTTTCTGTACGGTCGAAGATACATGCTCCTCACAGATCACAAGCCTTTGTTGGCAGTATTCGGTTCTAAATCTGGCATTCCAGCCCATTCTGCAAATTGTCTTCAGCGATGGGCCTTGGTGCTTTTGGGTTATGATTGCCTGTCTTCGATAATGGGCGTCCCCAAAGCATTGCCAGCATACCCTGGGACAGTCGGGTAAGCAATGCTGTGGTTAGGAAATAGGTGTTAGGTAGGGACAGAAAATCAATTGACAAAGTAGTGAAACTCAATCAGTTTAGGTGGTTGAGACATGTGTTACGTATGCCTAACCACCAACTGCCTCAACGACCTATGTTTTGTGGTGTAGGAGTAGGTTGGAAAAAAGCTAGGGGAGGCCAAACGAAAACATGGCACAAATCCATGAAATCACTAAAAAGTGGACTGAGTCATGTTGGTAGATGTAGGCTACCTGGTCGGGGTCCGCGAGATGATAATCGATGGTTAGAGAACCCGAGTGACATGGCTCAAAACAGTTTGAAATTGCGCAGGTGCATTTACTCTGTGTTTTTGTATCCTTTACATTACGAAGCAGGATCATTGCAGTTTTCAAGGTAATAGAATAAATACATTTATATTATGTATGCATATAAAGTTTTATGTATTAAAATCTTCTCAGGAGAAAGATGCAAGTAAATACGAAATATTTTGCTAATACTTCTACTGTCGCTATTAATAGTGGATTTGAACTGACAGTTGCGTCTCTGTGCCAATGTGGTATGGCAACCTGAACTAATGTACGTACGTACGAAGTTCTACGTTGTAACTGACTGACTCACCAGCTGCAGGGCTTACCACCAAAAATCTGTGCTAGCGAATGAGTTCAGTTGTCCATTTTTTGGGATAATTACTTCAGATCTGTTTTACAGTTCACTCAACCGATCTAATTTGGTGCATGGTAAAATTCAGTTATTGGTGCATTTAGCACACCTCTGTAGAGAGCACTGATTTCCTAATCTCTTGATTTTTAGCGTTCGATAGAACGTAAAAGAAACTAAATGACATGTTACTTCTAAATAATTGGTATTGTAATATAAATTTGTATCACATAGGCTGAAGTGTACTGGTTATGATAAAACAATATAACGCAACATTTATTTAGGTATAAGGGTAGGTTTCAGTTAGTTAAGATATAAGTGATAAAAAACTCCACGAGTGAGGAACAAGCATAGAGCATAGTCTAATATGTTTTGTTAGTAGTGACATATTTATAGATTGAATGGATTATTATTCCAAAATAAACTTTCACTGACTCTTTATGAGCCAACAAATTCCTAGTTTATTCAACCTGGGATTATTGAACTGTGCGAACTAAGTCAATAAACAAATAAATGTATTGAAACACTGTCTAATCTGACAGTTTTTTCTTAGACTCATACGTTCGTGCGAGGTTTTCTGCAAACAGAACGGTATTGAAGGCGCCTAAGGGAAAACTTAGTTGGGTATATAATCGTCAGTGAATATTGATAAAAAAGAAGTCTTTTTATCGCTTGTCAACAGTTAAGCTACGATTATGACATACAGGTTAGACTCTCGTCAGACTTAGTGATAAAATCTGATTGCACATTGATATGGGGGCGCTGGCTGAGTTTGGGTTGGCGACTATCTCTATTAGACAGCCTAACATACGCATGTCATGCGGAAAACGTGAGATATCTGTCAAGTGGACGGAGGTTTATAAACTGTTTTACAGGTGTCGGAAGAATAACAAATGAAAGTAAGAAGTAACGAAAAATCTTTCTTTCAGTACAAAACTATTTTGGAGAGAAAAAACAATGTATGTCTCATTGGTACATGTATCTTTATTTAAAAGTAATAAAACACTCACATATTTATGTATAATAATAACAGCAATGATTGCAATAATTAATGTCAGCAGATAGTACTACTGCCATTTCTGGGGATGCTGTTGATGTGCAATTGGACAGCTAATACTGGTTGATGTATTAACAGGTGATTCTTTACAATTATTAGGTGCCTGTACGTCCGCAAGCATAGCGCAACTCATATTTGAAGATGACGATGATGATGATGAGTTGGAGGAACACATAAGAGAAGTGAACAAGCAAGATGAAGGTAGGTTAGTATGGAAATTGGTAGTAACAAGGTTTGTAAAGATTAGATTCTGCTCGTCTTTACAATGATAAGTTGTTTGAGCACCAAGTGCAGGGTAACTACTATTTGTAAAGTCTGTGGATGGAGTAATGGATACGGTGGGTGATGCACAAAATCTAGAAGTCTGTAACGAAGCAGTATTGTTACAACTACTATCGTACTTTTCCGAAGCGGAGTGGATAAGTATGTTACCATGTACATTTGTCGAAGTATTAGTAAATTGACCTATAGTGTTCGTTGACAGCAGGGATGAAATCTAAAAGTAATAATACTTAGCTATGAAAGCATAAATAGTTTACTACGTTTAAATAATTAAGTAACCATTTTTGGTATAAAAATACTACAAACTAAAGAAACCAGTTGTTGAATAATTTTTTATTATGGAAGAAGGGAGTTGATAAGAATGGGAAAAGAAAATACATTAATTATTAGAAGCTGTTTTACCAACAAGACCTATCCTAAGATCATGGTTCAATTCTTGTGAAGTGTAAGCATTAGCAAAAGCGAATGAGTACATTATGCAGTTTACATTTACAGTTATCAAGTAAAACAAATTTGAAGAAACTGTCTTAGGATATTTTTTATTTGAAGAATACGTACCTGCAAGTTTCATCAAAGACTGTTAACTAATCAGTCATGTCAGAAACTAAGTTTAAGCACGTGCCAACTTAAAAATCGACAATCAGAGCTCTACAATAAAAATACTTAATTGGTAGATCACAACGGCGCTAAAGTGATATTTTAAGCGATTTCTGACTATAGGATAAAAGATATGGGAAAACAAAAAATTCCTTTGACTTACATGTCGTTGCTTGTTAGATGTGAGCTGCCTGTCACTCAAACGATTTTTTTTAGTATTGACGATTATATCATTTGGTGGCTCTGTCGTCTCTACTGTTGTTGCAGTGTATCCAGCATGACTGACAAGATCACATGGAACAGTACTTTTCGGTAAACACTCAAGTTGTTCTATTTTCATTGTAAGTTCTAAAATTTGTAAATCACGTTGCTTGAGAGTTTCTGTACAAAAGATGTTTGACAAGAAAAAGGTAGGTGACGGAATATAGGTTACATAAAATATTATTATGTCAAAAATCCTCAGGAAAAAAAACAGAAATCATCAAGTGAACGAGTGTGCAGTTAAGGGTGTATTGGTTGTGAAATCGACTAGTTAGAAGAATATGAAGAACATTGAATTAAAACATTGACTGGAGTGAAATATATATACGTAGGATATTTAAAACTCCAGTTTTGTGAATAAAAAAGTGAACATATAGTGTTACTAAAATGTCTCGTGTATTATTAGATTGCATTACTTCTGCTGACTAATTTGTAATAAGGTTGATAACGGATGTATCTTGAGTTGATGGCATTACAACATCAGTGCTAAACAAACTGTTTCTTCGATCGCGACTATCTAGTAAAAACTGATTGACTTCACCTATAAACGTTCAACATAGAAACAAAGTAATGTTATGGTTTCTGAGCTTAATGATTTGGTTATGGAGCTTTCATTATCCTTCTAAGTAACATCATCGGTATGTACTTCAAAGAGAAGTGAGCTATAAGAATTTCTCCCCGTTTGACTAACAGCTTGTTCTGTTGACCTGGGACTTGGTTGCTTGTTATAGATGTGTGATTGTCTAGATAGTATAACCCGATTCTTAACAATACTGAAATTCACATCAGAAATAGAATGTGTAAAACTGTGTACATGACAATGAATTGGAAAAATAGTAATGTTAAACAGAGGAAACTAACAGAAATCAGGAAACCTCAATTAACGAACACATTGAAATCGACCAGCAGCAGCAAGTTAAAAGAGTAAAAAGAGCAAAGTTAGAAGCAAAAAAATACCGGAAACAAGCAAGCAAACAACGACAACACAGTTACCGATCACAAAACAACCAAATCCCAGGTTAAAAGAACAAGCTGTGAGTGATGTTGTTCAGGCAAACAATGAAAGCTTCACAACTAAATCATCCAGTTTAGAGACTACAACATCTTTAACATCCTCAGATGAGCGACAGATATCCTTTATCATAAGAATGTGTGGGTTGGACAAGCGTGTTTACAGTCAAGCAATCCATTACTTTAGTGCATTGTATGTAAAAACTCTGGTATTTGAAGAGCAGTAAAGTAATATGAGTGCACCAAAGATTTGCTATAGCTTATTATTTACGTCTCTCTAGGGCATGAACTTTGATCAGAAATGAAAGCCGTAAGTTATGATGGTTAGGATGAGTTCTTCCGGTACTTTAACATCAAATTAATATTTTCCGAGAATAAAACAAGACAAATCTTATGTAGCTTATGTGATTAAAAGGCAAAGCTATTTTGATAAAATGGATTTCCTCGATAAATTTGAATAAACTCAAAGTATCAAGTGAGGCAAAGTAATATCAATTCATTTTAGTTTGTGATTCCTCATCAACTCTTTAGGACCGAAATCATTTTGAAGTGTAACATTGAAATATGACATAAGGTAGAGTAATCGGCATTGATGATAAAGAATTAGGGGTGAGGCAGTAATTATGTGGAGTCTGGAAACCGATAAAATGCATTGTGATGATGGTAGAGGATTTCAAAGATTTACTCAAGTTTTACATCATTTCAGAATAGATATATAAGACGGAGCAATAAGAATTAGAAAGTAATAAGATGGGTTGCTTGATAACTAAATGATATTTAAGGAGCATGTTTAAAATAATTTCGGCACTCAATTGTGAGTAACATCGACTGCAATTATTATTTGTGTTATGGAAGCTTCTCTAAACTGATTTTTATTTAATGTACGATAAAACTATTCTTTCAATCGCGCGTTTTTTACTCATCCAATTACCCAAACTTATGTCTAGATTCTCATCCGTGGATGACATCGACTGAAGTCATTAAAAAAGTAGAATGCACTTAATTCGGAACTCATAACCAATGAGCAATCATCATCTCATACTGAAATGAAGCAAAGATGACTAATTTTTATGACGGATAGGATTATTATTTTACCAGAATCGGAATTGAATCATGCGCAATTTACGAGTTTGGTAAATTCATCATAGAGTCAACTAGCGCTAAGTGGTTAAGTAATTCAAAATAGAGGGAAATAAATATTCTGTCCTCTAGTTGATGTGAGTTTATAATAAATGTCATTAGAAAAATTCTTCCGTGGGTGATGCTATGTTTTGTAACTGACCATACATGATAGAGTAACGTAGTTCAGGAGCATAGAATCAGTTACCAAATAGTGGTTTCTTCATAGTAAAAATAATTAGTGATGGACGATATAGTGTACATAGATGATAAAAACAATAGTAACTAGAAACCATTTGGAAAACTGGACAATTCATATTCAGAATAAGTCGCAATAACACAAGTGGTCACTCTGAAAGTAGTGGATCTCAGTATACGACCTTGGGTTGAATACATAAATCGTCCTACAAAGTTTATTTATACCCGATTGACGATGATTAAGAAGACTATTTTCAGAACAAATTTAACTTGCATTAGAGAACTTAGATGAAAAGTGGTACAAAACATTTTAGATATGTGAATTTATGTACGATTAAAACACATTACAATATCACTGACTAAACAATGATTAATAAAGTTTCTGTTCACCGTAGCACTTAATATACAATTTTGATGAGAAATAACACAAGCATTGTTTAACTTCTCAAAGAAAAATACGTGGAAAGTTAATACGTTGAGTATACAGTTGATAGAAAATGATTCAAAAAATATATTGTAAACTTTCAAAACACAAACGTACTGTTGAGTTCAGTTATTTCGCGTACCGATGTATGATACAGTGTGAGTAATTCTTGTTTTTGCCAATTCTCCGTACGTAATTTATTTGCTAAACGTTCTCGTTTCTCATTAGCTAAATTGAAACAATTCTCTAAAAATGCATGCCTATGGTTGTTTGTTGATGTATGTTGACTACTCACAGTTACATTATGCAAATTTTCTAAATCTGAGTTTAAAATGCAACAATAAACATCTTTGGTTAATAAATGTCCGGACTGAAGTCGACATGGCAACGGTCGTGGATCATACTGACGAACGCTGTTGTCGTAGTTTGAAGTGTCTACCATTTTTGAGTTTGCAGTGATTGAACACTTGGAGGCTACTTGACTAGAATGGTGCATTTTGGAAGCCAAAGTCGAATTCTCACGACATTTCACGGTCAATCTAAGTGCACAAATCTTCGACTCTAATAGTTGACGTAATCTACAACAATAATTATCCATTATTTTTTCACTTTCGCTTGATTGAAGTATTACAACATTAGCATTGGCTATGTGATTATTAGAAGACGTCCTATAGAAATCGAGGAAATAAAATAAAACACAGTCATATTTGTATAAGGATTTAATAGGTTAAACCTTTTCTGCAAACTAAAATACATGTTAAGATATAGATTAGCTTTACAACACTGACAATAAATGTAAACATATCATTTAACTGACTGGCTCTGATCCTTTGAAAATAGCTGTGACTGAATGTCAATAACTCATACATGTTTTTCATCTTGAAAATCTAAGTGTCAAAGTTATAGTTATTTCGAAACGAACTATACAGTGTATTCAGAGGTCTTATCTGCGTTAGATGTGGTACAACTTGGTAGAAGCCAAACCAACCATACTTACTCGCGCCGAGATTTCGTCAGCAATCAGCTTATCATGAATGATACAGCTTGCACGATAAGCGGACTAATCAACATACTCAGCTACTTCGCTTGGCATACATACGCTATGCATTGATACTGTGGTGTGACGATTTATTGCGTGTTCTTAAACTCGTTTTATAAATCAGAACATGAACTCATTATTCATGAATACGTTTATTCGGGACACACCACAAAGCGAAGCGAATCGGAGAAGGCTAAGAGCCAACTCTTTGGATTACAATGCGAGCGAATGGACGAAGTGAATTGGAGAAGGCTAAAAGCCAATTCAAAGAGATAGAGCATGACTAAGGATATATAGTCAGGCATAAATAAGACAAACATATGACAAGCGAAATAGGCGTGCACAGACATGAATCTCGTATGCTACTCTACAACCAGCTCCAACACATCTACCAAGATCCAAAAGCTTTTGGAATTTCTAACGGTTCACAACATAGGTTGAGTGCATGCACAGACAAGTAACGACATTTCAGCACTAAGGATTTCCAAGGTGTAAGCATATACAGAAATACAGATGTGATAACCACTTATAATAAAAATAGTCATATTTGTAATGAATCATTCAGCAAATAGACGCCTGTTATTTGAGATGCAGCGAAATGTCCAACTTGTCTTCTAAAATACAGTACTACTATTTTTATATACTTTAAGGTGAATATATGTGCTGCTCAATATGATAGGCGATTATGTAAACGAAAGAACTAGAGTCAGTTAGTCAGCTACAACGTAGAAACTCCTGTCTACTAACATCAGTTCAAGATGCCATGCCACATTAGCACATAGATGCAATTTATCAGTGAAACAAATTTACCAAGACAAAGATGAAGATCATGATGGGCTTCCGTTTTTAAGTTCTATCCAATTTTTGTTCATTCTTCCCATGTCTTTTTCCATTTTTCAGCGTGATGTTTCTTGGCCTTCCAGTTTTCTTTTGACTCTGAGGATTCCATGTGAGGGCTTGTCGTGTGATGCACTGGGGTGCTTTTCGCAGTGTGTGTCCTATACACTTTCAGCGCTTCTTCTTGATTTCCTCCTCCCCTGGAATGTGCTTTGTTCTCCTCCACAGTAGGTTGTTACTGATGGTATCTGGCCAACGGATCCAAGTATTTTGAGTAGAAACCTGTACCTCAAAGTGCTCTACCTACCAGTGTTGCTGATTACTTTGCCTTCCTTGCTTTTCACTGCTCGCCCTGGTTTAGGATAGAATCCAGCGAGCTTCTTTGTTATACCATATAACTGTCTCCGCCATCGTTTCTGGATCTTCCACATACTTACGTTTGTTGACTTTGATGCTCCTCTTTACTTGCTTGTTTGCTTCTGTATGCTCAGCTTGTGCCTTGGCGTTCTCTGCTCTTGTTCGGCTGGTGTTGACTGCTGCCTTTTTGTTCCTCCTTTCCCGAATTTCTTCAAGAGTACCAACAGAGATACATTCTTCGTGATCGTACTTCTCGTGGCCCAGAAACTCCTGACATGTTGAACTGATTGCCTGCTTGATCCCCTTCTAGTTGTTCTCCATGGTTGTTTCCCTTCTATTGAGTATATATACTGTTCAAAGCCTGGAACCTATTGCTGAGAGCTATCTTAAATTCGTTGGTGTCCAGTGCTTCTTGAGTTTCAGTTATATTTTGGCAACCAGCAAGTGGTGATCTGAGGTTATTTCAGCTCCTCTCTAGGTTCTCACGTCCTCCATGGTCCCTTCTGAACGTTTGATAGATATAGATGTGGTCAGTTTGGTTCCAAGTAGTGTGGTCCGGTGAAATCCATGTAGCTTTGAGTATGCATTTGTGTGGGAATATGGTGTCATCTATGACCAGTTTGTTGTAGTCGTTGGTAGGTGCATAGTATTCGATGATGTTCATTGTAATGCCCTCTTTGTTTGTTTTGAAGGATGCTTTGATGATCCTGGGTCCATGAGATTGCATCCCATCAATGTCTTTTGTGCTGGTTTGGACAACATCAGTGCGACTCCTTGTGTGTGCGAGAGGCATTTTCATATTGATGGCCGGAGTATAACAGCAGCTCTCCTGAAGCTAGTCTCACATGTCCAACCTGTGTCCAGTGCGTTTCACTGATTCCGAGCAGCTCCAGGTTGAATCTTTTCGCCCCTGCAGCAATTTGGAACAGTCTTTCGGTCTTCCACATTGTTCTAACATTCCATGTACCTGAAAGAATGGTTGATCTGACTGTGAGAAGGGGCTTCGGCCTCGTTAATTCCGAAGGAACTCAGCTTTCATCACGTGACTTCATAACTCTTCTGAATGAAGACCTTCTAACCCACAGGGTATAGTTAAAATGCCTTGAATTGCTCTCTCTGATTAGCGTTTTTGTAGCGAGTTAGTTTTCTAAAGGATGAGGTCGGCAACCCCATCGCTAACCCTCCTTTGTTTGGGCTTGGGGCCGGTAGTAGCTCAAAAGGAGATCCACGAGGAGTTGCCCATGACAAAGTTGAATAAAAAAATGGAGAAAGTGGACAACCCTGATAAAAACCACTTGGAGTAATCAACTTTGATGACAGCTCACCATAAGCTCTGACTCAAACTGCATTGTTTTAGCAGACAGGTAGGACAAGGTTAATATACATTTTTTCGGTACACTTTTTAATAACAGACAATGCCATAGAACATCAAGATTGACGGAATGACCGGTAAGAGTACAGGATATTCGTAGGTTACTGGTTTTCGATCATAGGTGCCTGCCTCAGAAGCATTGCTCGTGTATTATGGGACAACCGAGTAAGCAATGCTGTCGTTAGGATGGCAGATCAATAGATGAAGTATTGAAACTTCATCAGTTGGGGTGGTTGGGACATGTGTTACGAAGGCCCAACTACCGACTGCCTCGTCTAGCTTTATTTTGAGGTGTAGGAATAGGTTGAACGAAAGCTAGGGGCGACCAAACCAAAACATGGCAGCAATCCATGAAGTCACTTACAGGTGGACAGAATCATGTTGGTAGGTGTCGACTACCTAGTTGGGGTACGCGAGATGATAATAATCGATGGTTGGAGACGCTGAATTACATGTCTCAAAACTGTTTGCAATAGCGCAAGTGCATTCATTCTTTGAGTTCTCTCAAATCCTCAACTTTGTAACTCCTCATCACTTTATCTTTTTCTTTCTAAGTTTATTTCACTAAGTTCTACTTCTTGAATAATAATTTCGAATCCTAATCTCTCGGATTAGTACTGATACCTTTACTACCTCTACTAATATGGGATTTGAATTGACAGTTACATCTTCGTGCTAATGTGGTATAGCAACTTCAACTGGTGTACTTAGGCTGGAAGTTCTAATTTGGAGCTAAATGACTGACTGACTCGTATCTTGTATGCGCGCTTCGAAAACAGCATACTACGATGGTGCGAAAATCAAGACTCACACCCAGGGGAGCTTGATGTCGTACTCGGTACAAAATTCGAACATTAAGAGCTCCAACATGTAGTTTAAAACATAGTTTTAGGAGGTCAGGAATAATGTTTCGCGCGCTACAATCGTTTGGATCTGCGGAGCGAGGTGATGATCGACCTGAGTGGCACGGTAGGACCAAAAAGAACATACGTTCCAGGTAATGTAGCTCGGATGGGTCATAAAGATAGGCATGCCCGACCACCACATCAAGGTAGCAGCTACGGTCGTGGAATAAATTGGAGTCCGATGCTAAGTATCATCGATAAACGAGACGATCACTGTTATTAGTCGCCCACTATATCTGTTTACACTTCGTTGAGTTTATTTGCCGATCACAAACCTGAATAGTTTTAAAAGCGAGGTTCAATATGCGCCATTATTTCGCCTACATTTTCCGTTTGATAAATTGTACTGTTTTCTAGTATATGCACTGTATTACTAAAATGATTTCTACAACATCCACTCTCAGGTTTATAACCAGTGGTGTTTTGCATGGCACTGTCGTCGTCTCATTACGTTACATAACCTACATCGAAACAACAAAATGCCTTGAGTCATTTACTGAATGCTTAGAGCTAAGAGAGTGGACCCAAAACGTAAAGGCTCCAGAATGTTTCTAAGGTGATTAATAAGCTGAAGCACATTGGAGGACCAGATGGTATCCTAGGTAGCATGCAGAAAAGTGGAAACGATTTGTGTGTAATACTTCTTAAACTAAACACCATATCACACCCTCTGGAGTGTTACCCTAGTGCCTGGAGGACTACACACATCTTCCCCAAAATTAAATCAGCGCGAATGTCAAAAATTACCAACCCATAAACATTAACTTAGTAGTATCTAGGGTGATGGAGAAAGTAGTAAAGGCGGCGGTAATACAACACCTACTTTAATCTACATACATTCAGGAAATTACTTAAAATTCTCTTCGAAATTCCGGACCCAATCCATCTTGATACACGCCATGAATCATTGTCCTTTATAACTGTACTGTCTAATCTTACTAATTTTATTTTATTTGTGGCAGACTGTATGAGTTTTATCTACCCAATAACCATTAATTTTTCTGCTCCATTATGACCGCTTAAACATCATTCTAATTATATATTGAATCGTGTTGCTACTTCTTTCTTTTCAGATAACTGGCTATATTAACTATGAAGCAACCGCTCCATCTCTAAGAACATACACCCCTGACTTAGATACGCTTATTCTTCTGAACAGTCCCAGGATACTGAATACACTAACAGATGAATTCGGAGGGCAATCGCGAACTACAAACGTAGATAAATATAAAAGAAAAAATTATTGTTGATACCTTCTTGGAAAGAGATGAGGATGATATAAAATGGAAATTACTTAGTGAAAAAAAGGGAAATATTCTACTGCTAAAAAGTACGGTAACCATAACTTGATAAATGCCCATACTAATGAACATGATTTACGATTCCAAGAACCATAAAATATGAATTAGAGAATAGGACGAATGGTGACTTACAGCTAATAAACGTAATGGGTAAACTATTTATCTGACTTGTCGATTCCTCTTATAGGCTTTTACATTCAACCTGATTAGAAAATAATCAGTAACTTTAAGAATAAAACAACAGTTTTTTGACAACCACTTACTGAATGAAGGACGTGGATGTTGGAATACTTTTTTCAGTCGAATTGGGAGGTACGCTACTAGTATCATTTGCTCCTACAAAGCTGCACACAGGAATTACATCAATTTCAGTGAGTTGAGCTTCAAGCAACTGACGTAAACGAATTTCTTCATTCAAATTTTGCTCAATCGTGTTTAAATTAACCCGTTCACTACGGCATTTGTTGATTAGTTTCGAAATACGCGATGAAATACCTTCATTCTCTTGACGTTGGTTGGACAGACTGAGTCGATTGAGGTGATCGTCATGTTGAAGACTGTTTAACTGGTTACGTAATTGTGTTTCCAGTCCACGCATTGATTGTAATTCGGAACGTAAACGTCTGATGTTACTCTCTAATCTGTTGTGAAAATATCAGCAAAATTTACGGTGATTATTAAGTAAGGTATACTGCACAACAATATGCAAATAATCACCAAAACTAATTATTTGAATAGCTTAACGTTCTTTTTCTTAATAAAGCAGATTAAGTCACCTAGGTTTTTCGCTATTACTTGTCAGTTCTTTCTTGAAAGGATGAACATGATGATCATTTTTAACTCATAATTCCGCAATAACCCTTGCTGTTATCTTGTTGGCTGTTGCTACTTTAAGTTTGCTATATTATATGCTTCAAGGTTACTGAATGTTATTATAGGGAAAGAGTTGTACCGTTTCAATTTCTACTTATCTTCAGGATATAAAACTGTACTAAAATATATAACGTTAATATATTCACCTAACTTGATTAAATTAACTGTACTGACAGAGTAGATAAATGAAAACCACAACCTTTAATAAAGAGGTACACGCGGACTTATGATCTACTAAGTTAATAGAATGACTGCCAAACATGTCCCAAATGTTATAGCAATTCATAAGAAAGGTGCAAAAGAATTAAAGACGACTGGATAAACACAAATTCGTATACCTTGTTACTGGATCTTCCTTGGCACATCGTTCTCGCACTGGTTTCCCATTAGTAGATTGCTTAGGAACACAACCATTAACTGAAGGTTTAGAATTCGAGTAAAGGTTTACCGAATTATCTGAAGTATACCGACGACTAGTTTGTGATCCGGACGGGCTCGACCAACGGCTCTGTATAGCTCGACGTCGACCAGCATCAGTAATACATGCTCCGTTTACTATTGTAGTCGAGGAATGGTTAAAACGTGCAGTTCGACTGTAAGCGTAGCATGTGGAATGATTGAAAATACTTAACAGAAAACATATACCATACGAAATTGACAAAGACGTAAAGTTTAAATGCAACGCAACGACGTTCGTTTATTAGTAGGATGAAAATAAATTATTATGCTTCTTGAATTATCCAGAAAACGGAATATATTGTTGGTCAACAGTAGACAAATACACATGGTGTTTACGAACTTACTTGGTCTCTGTAAGGTGTACTAAACTAGCAACGCACAACTAAGGGTTCATTCTATAGAGATTTACAGGAAGGACCACGATATTATGTAGCGTCACATCAAAATGAAGGAAAATTGCTTCGTCTATTTGTTTTTCCCAATAGATTATTTTGGTTGTATTTGTGATAAGAAGCAACGACCATGATAAACTGGAAAGTTAAAACCAAATTGTACCATATCCTGGGCACTACGTCTATGGGATTTGAAGTGACAATGACGTCTCTGTGCTATTGTAGTATGACAACTTGAACTGATGTACGTAGGTACGAAGTTCTGCGTTATAGCTGACTGACTAGGCACTACATTACTCGAAAAAATTTTGAGCACTACACAACAACAATCGATGTTCCAGTGAGGTACATCCATTTCAGTTTCAGTTCGTCACATACACTGTGAGGATTTTAAGACAGAACTCAGTGAATCGTATTTGAAAGCGGTGAATGAAAAAAACGAATAAAATCGATAAATAACAGTCCCTGAAAATGGTAATTCGCTTGCTATCTACCTAGTTTGACCAACATCATTTAGGAATTCCTATGGTCTACAGCAATTATGAGGTAAAGGAACAATAAGCAGGGATTGATTTTTCCTCCCGTAGAACTATGAACCAGATCGATCGCATCTGCGTCAATGAAAAATCCAGAAGGCTCATAAAAGATGTAAGAACAAAGAGAGGAGTCAATACTTCAGATTTGTAACAGGTGTAAGTAAATACTGCAGAGTTAGGATTTAGCAAAAGCACTGTGGAATGCTCGAGATTTTATGATGTTGGAACATTCGTGGTGTATGCTAAGATTACGCGAGTCCGACATAAATAAAGTGAGCGATAGCATTTCTATTCTCCCCTTTCCTGGACAACTGTTTAGAATAAAAGGAAAAATATAGTAATGAAAGCTTTGTCGATGATAACCCCAGTATAACTAAAAACACATTTAGGTTAATAAATCATCTATCTATTAGAAGGATTCGAATTTATGAACTGAGTATTCATAACGAAACACATTATAATATAAATATAATGAAAGTCTGGGCACAGTTTGGGCTGAAAATTTTAATGTAAGGACTGACAGTTGCGTCTCTGTGCTGATGTGGTATGGCAACCTGAACTGATATATTTACGTACGAAGTTCTGAATTGTGTCTGTCTGTCTTAATTGTAAGGGAAGTTCACTTTAGTAGATATCCCTTTCCTTTCCCGTCAGTTGTGGTTGGGGATTGAACAGCCCTAACAATCAACGACACAAAATGTTTCATAAGGTTTCAAATTTCTAGGTCTTAGGGATAATGTGCTATTGTTCCACGAATATTTTATAGAGAAGTTAAAATAAAGTAGCAGTTAAAATATATTCCTTAATTCAAGCCGAACATATCATAGAATACCAACGTGACACAATGAGAAAAACATACCAATCGAAATCTAAGTATTGTTTGTCAACGGATCTAAGATATTTGAAAGTCCATCGAGCTAAACGACCAAGACACGACTGGCCAAAGCGGAAAAGTATGAATACTGATCGACTAGAAAAACCTGATGAGAACTAGTAAAAATAAAACAAAAGATTTTCACAAATGGGAAACGTGATTAGTACTGAAAATAAAATCTGATAACTGAAAATCTGATCGATAAGATAGACCAATGTGAATTAGTTGAGAGATGACTGCTCACAACATTATTTGAATGTTGAAAGGATACACAAGTGGCCAGAGAGACTTAAGCGTTTATTGGGGATAGAAAATTAGTAGCACGAAACGGAATATAACTGCAAATTTTACGCAGCAATGATCACAGGATGAAGTTTCGCAGATTAGATATCGAGATTAACGTCTTTTTATACACGCTTAGTAACTGCCAGACCGATGACATAGCGGCGAAATCTTACCTAAGTTTTGAAGCTGCGTCAAATACTGAAACTTCAGTGTGTACTCGTGTAACAGAATACTTCACAATCAAATGTTCGTATTAAAGCACTTAAATTATCATTTGGAAATATTAGTGAATTCTACTTTACATAGGCTGTAGATGTTCCAAATGAAATGAAGAACTTGACATCACTGAGGACGTCCACCTGGGCTACAAATTTTATTTATTATTTCAAGTGATGCCTTCTCTGAATTTTTCTAATACCAGATAAAAGGCAAAGCATTTCACTTGCCAAGCACTAGCTTTATTATAATCATCAAATAGGTTATCACTAGCTAGACATCAGCAACGTAAAAATTGGTATACTTGTGCGTCAGTACGAGTTGCCATGTTACAAAGAACCAACTCGATTTACGCTCTGCGTATCTGGAGGCCCTGCTGCTGCTTCCCGTGGACTCGCTGGTGTACATATATTATTAAGTAGTGGGGCATATCTAGCTCTTAGACTGGATTAAAATAGATAGTCATTTGTGCGCTGTCCGACTAAACGGGACAATAGGTACTCGTAAAGATAGGGGAACTCGCCATTGCCTCTGTACTGTCTCTGCTTACGCTCCCACTGACTGTAGTTCAGACAAGGTCAAAGATGAGTTCTACAGAAAGCTTTCGGACCTCCTTCAAAAAGTTAGGCGCTCTGATATAGTAATAGTGGCTAGCGACTTCAATGCTCAAGTAGGTAGACTAAATAAAAAGGGTAGTTGGTGCTACTATTGCAGGTTTATGTTTAATAACCAATATACCTTTGAGATTAACGTAATGTAACATATCTGGCAGTAGCTTACACATAATAAATGGTTGAAGTATTTTATCCTTCATGGATATACAATATATAAACTGAATATAACGTGAATTAGCAGTTGTCAATTTGGCTCTGTGGTCACGCTCCCAGGTCTATAAGACCGACACTAATTTACTTGCCTTTTCAGGTTCCTCAAGAAGCACCCTTCCACGATATGAGCAACCGGGAAGCGACAACCGCCCTCATACCCGTAACAGCACGCGAGACCTAATCGGTCATAATCAAATCCTTCCTAGACGCCTTAATATCTCTCTTATCTCCACGACTAACTCTTCTCACATTCCTTTATCACACTGCACGGGTAATGCAAACGATAGTTCACGAAATGTCATTCCTGGTCTCTTGAAACCCCGTTCTAGACTACATGTTGGAGCTTTTAATGTACGGGCATTGTGTCAAATAAGGCAACAAGCTTACTTAGCTAGGTATTTGGAATCTCGTGCCAAGATAAAGAAGCAACTTGATTTACCCTTCATGTATCTGGAAGCCCTGATGCTGCTTCCAGGGGACTTGCTGGCGTAGGTATAGCATTGAGTCGTAGGACTGAACTATCTCCCTTAGACTGGATCCCAGTACGCTGTCCGACTAAACGGGACAGTAAGGACTCAGAAAGATAGGGACACGTCGTTGCCTCTTCGTCGTATCTGCCTATGCTCCCACTGACTGCAGTTCAGACGAGGTTAAAGATAAGTTTTACAGAAAGCTCTCGCCTAAGCTGTCTCCGCTCCTCATCGCACTCTAGCCTTATGGTTTACCTTACTAGCAGATATCACTGCTGTTTCCACAGCCTTTTTGTTATCGTTCTAACCTGTTTCCGGATGGGAATCGCACTTAGAGACCTGGGAGCGTGACCACAGAGCCAAATTGACAACTGCTTGAGGCCGGGCATGCACGGCCTTTATATGAAAAGTTTTTTGGGTATTAGCTCCGCTCTTTTGGAGCCCTCAGTGGGCACCCTTACCGCCGGAGACGGAAATCCGTGAGGTAGGGTGAGGTGTGATATTTATAGGGTCGACCCTTTCTAACTCTCCCTTCCTTGTGAGAAGACAGCATAGCTGCAGATGCTGGTTATCCAACGGGAACAGCTTACTGCTGTCACAATCCTCTACAGTCAGTAGTACGACTTCGCCCTCAATACTTGAGTAGCTGCTTTTAGTCTCATCGTTCTCCAGTCGACCTTCCTGGCATGGTAGAACCTACAGGAACATATGTTCCAGCCAATATAGCTCGGTTGGGTCATCACGATAGGCAAGTCCGACCACCACGTCAATGTAGCAGCTTCGGTCGAACCCTACTTGAGAAAAGCGGATGAAACTGGGAAACGAAAATACGAAGTGAAATGAAAATTCGACGTAAATTAAAACAAAAGAGAACGAGCAGAGTTAGGTCACATCACATTATGGAACAGCCCCAAATTAAAAACCATTTTAGAAATACAAAGAACGCAAGGCTTCGCTAACTCTTTGGTAGGAGTTTCAAAGATCTCTCTTCTAATATTTTTATGTAATAGCTTTGTTAATGAAAATCTCGAATTGGCAACAAACCCTCTACGGAAAATGAAAATAACTAAAGTAGGGCATAAACAGTTTATGTGAGGTAGGAGTTTATACTGTATAACAATGTCGATTAACCTTTGGTCAAACAGTACATAAACTGTGACGCAGTAAATGCCGTGACTGAACCTGATTTTCCCACTCATTCAGAAAAAGATTGCATGCCAGTTTTACGTGCACTTGTGAAAGCACCATAAGTCTTTTGCTTATTATATGGCGTCATACGCATACATCTTATTCAACTTTGAATGGTATAAGCTTCACCTATTCGTAAGAAATCATGGTGAGACAAAGGTTTGTTGACCACTGAGATATATTGCAGCAGATATATCTATTTAAAAATATGTAAAGTGAAGACATTAAATGTGGGGGCAGTACTAAGTTTTAATGATAAGGGGCACAAACTTACATCACCAGACATTGCAACTTCATGAAGTTCCAAGGAATCCTTTTGAGAAAAGCTAAGACTATGCTGAACACCTGGTTCAAGTATGCTTGAATGTAACAGAAACTTACAAGCGTTGTCATTTACCGATGAAGGTGGGAGAGCATCATGTAGAATTCTAAAATGCAATTGATTTTGCTTCCTGACATCCATTCTTTTGAACTGAACATTCCAAATAAAGCATGAAAAATACTTACATCTCGATAGCTGATGTCTATGTACCGTTTAAGAGAAAACCCCACACAAACTACCGAATAGCCAATACTGAGCGTTTAATTACACTTATATGATCATACCTGTGTGCTGCAAATGGACGGAAAAGATAAATGCTGTGTGTGGATTTTGACGCCTTTGTGTAGAGACTATATTCGAAACATATGAAAACAAGACACAAAGACAGAGTGAAGAAACACAATCCTTGATCTGAAATTTAATATTCGTCAGTTATGATACTGACCAGTCTGCCACAAAATGTATATCCATACATACGCACTACCAAATGTGTAAACCCATGAAATAGGAACCATAAAGAAACACACCAGATCTACAGTTAGCAAAATAATTATAAATACAAGTGTGTATTGCTGTATGTAAAATATGGGCAGAAGTTATATTTACCAGTCCTTGAAACTTCATCGAGTCATGTATTGAGCACATAGACAGCCAAACAGGCCAAAAGTACTCAAACCTCATGTCTGTCGATTGATTTACTACTAGCAGTACTCCCCATACTAAGAATACTAGGAGGTATTGAACGTGACTTAATTGGTTACAAATAACTAGACACTTACGACAAAGATAATAATTCGCAAAGTTTACTCCTTCTGCAAGTACGCTTTAGTCTGTTCAAGTCCACATTTTTACGACGAGTGGGCATAGCCACTAAAAACAAACATCAGACGAAACAGACAACTAGGTCCGTCCACTCAATTAGCCCGCTGAACAGTCCATACAGAGAACTGAATTTTTGAATGATACAAATGATATAGACAGTGCCAATATCTAATATCTATCTCAAGAGCCAGTGGAAAGTGCTTGATTCTTGTTTTTTTATACGGTTCCAGGTGTTTGGTAGTGTTCAATGAATAAGGGTCTAGCCACTCAACTGTCTAATTCTAGTCAGTTGGCAGTTGGTTGTGAGCTTGTATGTCTCGGGATTTGAATGAAACGTTTGTTTCAGGGCAGTAGGGTTTCTGGATACCAGCAGTTATCACACTGCAAGACCGCAGATCAGTTAGTTGCAATGTGTAGCCATATCATTCAAGGTAATTAACCATCGGTTATTATCATCTCCCGGAACCCAACCAGATAGTCTACACCCACTAACATGGCTCAGTCCATTTGTCAGTAACCGAAAAGCATTAGAGACAACTGCTTGGGGTCAATCTCGGAGGACCTTTTTATAGGAAGTTGGGAAGGTGTCAGCTCCATTCTAAAATTTTGTACTGAACTGTATTATGTTGTTTAAATTGATACTTAATTATGGTGTCAGTTATATCGGAATAGATACCCTGGCAGGAGAAACGTGCATCTTGACTGGAAGGGTGCAATTTTGGACCTATACGGAGGCATTCTTCCAGAATTGTAAACATCATCTGTTAATTTTAAGGGACCTATGTCCTCAATTTATCTGTTCTTGTTCGGTTGTTCTTGACTGCTTTCTGTAGCATCCATTTTGTAAGCTTTGATTTGGGAATATCCCTCTTTGTACATAATTGTAATATGTTCATACTGACTCTTTCTGCGCTGCATTTTAGTACTTTGTTTAACCCCATTTCGTGATGTTATTATTTGTATTTTGTCATAGTTTCTATTTTTGTACCTTTATTTGAGTTTCTATATTTTTACTGAACTGTATTATGTTGTTTAAATTGATACTTAATTATGGTGTCAGTCATATCGGAATAGATACCCTGGCAGGTGAAACGTGCATCTTGACTGGAAGGGTGCAATTTTGGACCTATACGGAGGCATTCTTCCAGAATTGGAAACATCTTCTGTTAATTTTAAGGGAGAACAGTGTAATATTGTTTAGGTAACTATCCGTACATTTTAATTAATAATAGAACGGTTTCTCACGCAGATAATCTGCTTTTGATTTGGATATCCGGGTAAGACGCATATCTAAACTTGTAGGACTGTTTTTCCGAATTCAGAGTCCACTCTAAAACGCTTACAGTTCTAAACAATATTTGGAGAAGAAGAATCTTTTAGTTATCCCAGCTCTCAACAATAATTCAAGAAGACGGACCCTGTGATTCCTAAATTCTGATCAATATTGGTAGATCGGAGTTTAAAAACCTATTCAATATCATTAATTTGGAATTTCTTTCTCCAGAACTGCAGGTATTACAATCAATTCTCGTAATAATAAGTCAGGCTCAAGTCCGGTTGGAAGCCATGAAGACAAACTGAACTACGAATCCTTTGTTACAAAGCAATTGCATTATACCTCTTTTAATTTAAATGGTTCACTCTCAGATAGGGAATATCGTAGTTTTTACTGTCAGATGGCACTAAAAATTGTAGTGGAAAAGATTTGATGTCTATAGCGCCGGTTGTAGGCCTAGCATTACCAAAGTTTCAGTTAAGCTACTTTGATGGACAACCTCATGGATGCTAGAAATTTATGCGTCAATTTGAAAATTCCGTCGAATCTCGAGTTGATGTCGATAGCTTGCGTTTACTCTATTTGATTCACTACTGCCAGGGTAAGGCTAAAACAGCCTTCGAAGGCTGTGTGGTGTTAGAGGCCTTTATGGGATATAAGAGGACTAAAGAAATCCTGGAAAACTATTCGGGCAATCTCACGTTATAGCTAGGGAAACGTTGGAAGAGCTGTTTCATCCTGGGAATGTTGATTATAATGACGCTGAGCAGCTATCGAACTTAGCCATAAAACTCGAAACTTGCGCCATGAATCGCACCACTGATTTGAATTCCCAAGCAACTTTGGAACGAATAGTCAAGCTCTCACCTCACCGCATGCAATTCCATTGGGCAGAGCTGGCAGTTAGATGGGGTGATGAGGATAGAGAGACCACTTTTGCCGAACTCACAGTTGATTTCGTCCCGTGCAAGGATAGCCATCAGTAGATTTGGACGATTAGCCGATCGCCCAAAAACAGAACATGATACGAAAGTGAATAGTCATCTGCGATCAGGACATCAACAACAAAGGTAAGGTGAAACCTCATATGTCTATTGATGGCGTGCTAGATGTGAGTAACAGTTGTGATGGTAAAGAGGGTTTAATCACTGTAGATAGTGCGGGTTCCACAATTGTTACTAGTGTAGTTTCATCGAGTACTTCGCTTCATGACAAGGTTGGGTGTTTGAGTGTGGAGAACGTAAGCGATGGTGGCAATAGCATCAATCACAGTAATGGCACTACTGAGGAGGCTCACAACCAGTGTTCTGAGCGCAGTTAGATTTAATCTAGGTTGCATGGACATTATATGTTGCGTCGAATATTCAGCATGCGAAATCGAGTATGGAATTGTTCACCTGTCGCACTCCATCATCATTGACTTCTATCACAAGTTTCGGGATAAGCACTAACAGCAGTGATGAGACAGATGAGATGTATGATATTCGTAATGATGGAAGTAATGTTGATCGAGAAGAGTTGGATATTACCCTGGAGTTTAATGGATGTCATGGAAAGAGTACTACTACTTCTATTGCTAGGGCTACTAAAGATAATAGTATTGATAATACTCCTGCGGTTAATAGTGATCGAACGACATTGAAAGACACTCGTTGACATCGTAGTGAGCGTACATTACGTCCACATACTTCTGCCAAAAATGATTAAGAGAAAAAACGACATGTGAAGGATACTTCTCCGATCAAGAATCGTAAACTTCTTTCTTGTTCGGATGCTGTGACTAGTAATGAGAATAGTGTCATCAGAATCGTAGTAGTGGCGCCGATTTTAAAGAGACAGCAAGTGTAAGCAATCCACCTATAGTGACTAGTCAATCTACTTCATCGAATAAACCTAGTGTTTTGTCGTTTTCGAACCTTGCCGCAAATGTAAAGTTGATTGAAGATGCACAAGGTTGTGCAACTGTAACTGTTTCTCCTCCGATTGACAGTCAGTTTGACGAGGATGAGAAGGTAGTGTCTGTTGGCGACCGCCAGTCTACTGTTTTGCATGATAAAGATACTACTGATGGGCACATGATTTGTGTTTCTGAACTGGACCATGAATAACAACATCTGAGTTTACCGGATTCGAAATGTGTTACTAATACTGTTCTTTGATCTAGCGGGACGAGTTACACAACAATGGAAGAGTTTCACTCTACGGTTGCTAGTGATAGCAGAAAAAACATGACTGGCCCGATAGATATGAATCGTGATGGTAATGATTATAATTCTGATGTCATTAATGAGTCAACTGATTTGCCGACGATGTTGAAAGCTGATCAAACCTCCTCAGTATACTAGGAGATAGAGAATTTAATCTTGTTCCTGCATTATGCCATTCAGAGCCTTCAGGAGGCAAGGAGATGTCGAAATTGGAGATTCTACCTTTAGGTATTATTTATGGGTCAAGAACCTCTGTTGATGAGTCGTCATCATCGACTTCATCTTGTCTGCCCTTTGGAGCAAGTGGTGGTGGATTGACGATTCATCCTACTTATAATGTGCAGAGTAAATCCCGAATAGAGTGTAACCAGCCTAATGACGTGCCATACATGTTATTGTGGTTTAACTGAATGAAGTTTACAGGACCTTTAGGTCATACTAAGATGTTACGTCCAAATTTTTGCTCCTTTCTCCTTAGAAGCACTGTGTGTCGATCTATTTGCGATTCACGAACCCAAAAATTATATCAAAACGAAACTCCAAAGTAGGTACCAAAGTTTGTTGTCAATTCACAAATAATCGACTAAAATGTCGTTCGTTTATTACAAATAGACGACCAATGTCGTTCTAACAACAATAATTATAATAATTACAATAGACAGATAGGATAGAGGGATCAGGAACCTGATGGAAAGGTATAAGTACATAATGAGCTTGATATGTCATATCCATGTTGGGGGGCGGGTAGGCGTACTGCTGTAAGTCCTACTCGTTCTTCTGGCGTGGATTTGTTTATGAAAGTGAACCATGATCTGAGGCATCTAACGGGACTTTGCTTTGTATGGAGGGATTTTATGTGCCGGTGTAGAATCCATTTTGAAGTATTTGATTTGGGAATATCCCTCTTTGTACATAATTGTAATATGTTCATACTGACTCTTTCTGCGCTGCATTTTAGTACTTTGTTTAACCCCATTTCGTGATGTTATTATTTGTATTTTGTCATAGTTTCTATTTTTGTACCTTTATTTGAGTTTCTATATTTTTACTGAACTGTATTATGTTGTTTAAACTGATACTTAATTATGGTGTCCGCCAAATCGGATCTGCAACAATGTCTGTCCAGAGCCCCTTTCCAGTTATTCCAATGCTCTTATCCAAGATTTAGCTACTTAAGATAGAAGTGATTAAACGATCGCAATCAGAGACTAGAATTTAGTGTAGGGAGAAAGTTGTTCTAAGTGTTCGAAGCGTTGCATTGAAGCTGTACAAATAAGCTCAAGAAGCACTTATGAGACGGGAATCTCATGGAACCAACTTCATTAAATCATCCTTCAAGAGTCAGAAAGAGGGAATCACAATGAATGGCGTCCAGTGCCAGGAACCCAACAACCACAGCAACGAAGACAATAAGGATCAATTCCATAAAATGCTGAAGTCAACCGTCAAGAAATGCTCAGCAAAGCACTTGACCAATCCGATGGGAGACCTAAACACCAAAGTCGCAATAGACAACACATGATACGGAGACAACATTGGACGACATGGACTGGGACAAAGCAACGAAAACAGTGAGAGATTCGCAAATCTGTGTCTTCAACAAAACGGTAACGGTGTA